AAAATGTATACAAATATATAAATCTATTATAGCTTGCAATTACTTTATGTAATTAGGAAAATATGAAAATACATTTCTAAACATAAATTCAGATATACTATGGTTCAGAAATAGAAGTAAATCTAAATTTGTTTAAATCAAAGATATAGTGAAAAAAACATCAAGTAAAATTAATGGTTGTAATGGTATAGTAATAAAATCAAAATACTGATATAAAAACATTTTTACATCCCCTACTTAGAACATTTGATTCAAATGAAAGTACTGAAAAATTCCCTTGTATTAAAGAAATACATGGATAAGGATATTTAACCTATGCTTTAAAATTAAATGGTCCAATGAAAAACTAACTAAGACAGTATATTAAATTCGCATCAGAATTAATCGTAAATAATAAATTTCTGAACATGTAGCAAGGGTAGAATCCAAATTATCCTCATGTAAATCATAAGAAATTCATAACTGATTAGAAGTGATATGGGAGGGCCAATATACAGCATTTTTAAAAAGAGAAAAAACAAAACTACTTTACAAGTAATTCTACACATTATTAGAGTTTTGAGACAATGTAATCATTTAACACAATAACTATTTTCTAATTTTATACATTTCTCATAACTAATCATTGCATTTTTTTCAAATTTAGAATTTATATCATATATCTTACTGCATTTTCTCTTTTTTTAACGACCTCATGTGAATGTGGAGCTTACTGCATTTTAAATGCAGTAATAAAAACTACTTTAAACTCACTAATATTTTCATTTGTGCTTCTATAGAGAAAAACTTCTTTAGCGGTATCATACCTTCTCTCTTTACTAATAATTGTCTTTTTAATTTATTAATCTTTAGTGTTGTTATATCAAGAAAGTTTGACTCTGTAAGATCTAAATAATCACAAATGAGAATAAATTAGATAAGCGAAATAGAGTAGAAAGCAACTCAGGAAAAAGCAAAGGACCTTAGAAAAATGATAAGGGAGGTTAAAAGGAAAATTTTAATGTAAGAACCAAAGCTT